CTCTTTTAATTTCTCTCTCTCTCTCTTGTAACGCTTCTGCTGCCGTATCGTTTCGGAGGAGCGGAAATGACTGGAATAATTGGCGATAGCGGGGCTGTTTTGCTCGTTGTCCAACTGTACTTGTGACATCTACTTTCCCATTCCTCTTAGAATTCTTAATTCTTACTTTCACTTTACCTCTTCTATTTCCCAATTTCAAGATTATTGTCACAATTTATTTCTTTTCCATCTCAATTACTTTTCATTCTTAACAAAAATATATTGTTACCGCAGTCGTCGTACTGACAAGGTCCAACTATGGTAGCGGTAAGAAATGTATACGACTTAATGGACCGAAACATTTCTTACCTAATTTATTATTTCTATTTATATCTTTTCCTTCTTCATTCTTTTTAAGTTTTTCCATCATCCACTTTTACATTTTCCAATTAAATTTCTACTTAACCTTAAATACGGAGCCCGTGCCCCTTCTCGAGTTTTTTTTTGAATTGGCTAATTCGCCCCGTCGGTTTGGCAACAATGCTGGAGCTCCTAGAAGTCCAGAAGAGGTCTCGATGCACCGTGGACATCTCAAAACGATGTACTTCGTTTAGAAGAGTCACTAATCTGTGGGAATCAAAGAAAGCGCCGCCGAGTGAGCTCAGTGGGGAATGATTGATTTTTCAGATTTACGGGCCTGGTGTTCGCAGTTGGAGAAAGGCGAGCTACATGTACTGCCCCGGATGATCCAGTTATTGCATAAGACGCGAAAACAAGTGAATGCAAGCGTGCTGACAAGTCTGATCAATTCGCATCTCGCATCGCTTCCACTGATCAAGGAGCAGCTACTTCAGTCGCTTCCGTCTGCAAACAGTGTACAACCGGTGATCTCTTCGGTTTTGGCCCGAAATCAGTTAATGCCTGCTGGCGCAGATACTTCGCATTGTTGTTCTGGTGATCGCCCGGCACAATATTTGTAAAATCCTCCTACATCTTGGGCTCCTTCCCTCTCTCTCTCTCTGTTCCTGTACTATTGTTCAGCAGAGTGGATCTTCCTGCCATTTTGGGAAAAGCAATGCTTTAAAGTAGTGGGGCTGTAGCGGAATGGGCTTCTCTAATTTTGCGAGGAATGACAAAACTGGGATGGTTTGAAACTGGAATGAACTAGATTTTGATGCTGAAATTTTCTGATGTTAGAAATTGTAGGTTTTTTTCTGAAAGATAGAAATTACGATGCCGAAGTTTCCTTCTGATTTCCTTGTAAATGCATCGGCGTTAGTGGTGGCGCTAAAAGGAAACATTTAAGCTTTCACTGAGGGGTTTTTTTTTTTTTTCAGATGGAAGTGGATGTGAGCAAAGACGGTCGCTCTCCACGACCACGACGATCGGGCGGTCAATCGACTACGGCTCCATCGCCAGAAGTGGA